GGAGAAGAGCTGTCGAGTTTTATGCCTCATTGTTCAAAAGCGAATACAAGAACAATGAAGAACTGATGGAGGAGGTCTGTGGTGGACTTCCTCAAGTGTCCAGAGAGGCTAACTCGCAGCTCGACAGCCCACTGACCATACAGGAACTGTACGCTGCCCTGCAGAGCATGCAGGGGCGAAAGGCTCCGGGCATCGACAGCCTCACTGCGGAGTTCTATAAGGCTTTCTGGAACATCTTGGCCCAGGACATCCTGGATGTTTTTAATGAGAGCCTGGTGTCTGGGTCACTGCCTCTGTCCTGTCGGAGAGCCGTTATCACCCTCTTGCCCAAGAAAGGCAACTTACAGGACATAAGAAACTGGCGTCCTGTCTCTCTCCTCTGTACAGACTACAAAATACTGTCCAAAGTCTTGGCCAGTAGGCTGAGAGGAACCATGGAGCAGATTCTCCACCGGGACCAGACGTACTGTGTGCCCGGCAGGTTTATGGTAGATAACATCTACCTAATTCGGGATGTTTTGGAGGTCTCCAGTTCATTAGGCATAAACACTGGACTGATCTCATTAGATCAAGAAAAGGCTTTTGACCGCGTTGAACACGGCTTCCTTTGGAAAGTCATGGAGAGGTTTGGGTTGAGCGCTGGTCTCATAGCCAAGATCAAGGTGCTGTACAGTGACATTGAGAGTGTGTTGAAGTTTAATGGTGGCCTGTGTGCTCCTTTTAGAGTGCATAGAGGTGTCCGGCAGGGCTGTGCCCTGTCTGGGATGCTCTATGCACTCTCCCTGGAACCCCTCCTACAAAAGATAAGATCATCTGTTCGAGGCCTGGTTTTACCTGGTTTTAACAGTAGCGTTGTTTTATCTGCCTACGCTGACGATGTCGTTGTTTTTATCAAAGATCAACAAGATGTGTGTATTTTAAGCTCTGTAATCGAAAAATTTTCTGTTGTGTCGGCTGCGAGGGTGAACTGGAGGAAGAGCGAGGCCCTTGCTGTTGGCGAGTGGCGTGAAGGCCTCCCTGTTCTCCCTCAAAGCTTGACATGGAAAAGAGAGGGTTTAAAATATCTTGGTATTTACATAGGTAGCAGCGACATGGAAAAGAAAAACTGGGAGAACATTACAGAAAAAATAGACAGTAAACTAGCTAAGTGGAGGTGGCTCCACACACAAATGTCTTTTAGAGGGAGGGTCCTCATCTTAAATAACCTGGTGGCCTCTCTTCTATGGCACCGGTTAGCTTGTCTGGACCCTCCACCAGGTCTCATTGCTCAAATTCAAGCAAAGATGGTCAATTTCTTCTGGAATAAATTGCATTGGGTTCCACAGTCTGTGTTGTTTTTATCCAGGGATGAGTGGGGCAGGGCCTGGTCCACCTGGCTAGTAGAACAGCCACCTTCAGGCTCCAGTTTATTCAGAGATATCTGACTGGACCTGAGGATCTGGTGTGGAGAGATGTGGCCAGCTGCATACTGAGGCGTGTCAATAACCTGGGGCTGGATGCTACTCTGTTTTTAACTGATTTTAAATTCCTAAAGTTAGGTGGGTTGCCTCCTTTTTATCAGGGTGATTTTAAATCCTGGGCGCTGTTTAAAGGCAAAAGAAGTGAGAAATGTGACTCTCTGTACTGGTTGTTGAAGGAGCCTCTAGTCTGTGGTGCCAGGCTGGATGTGTCCTGCAGCACCGTGCCTGGGCTGATGGGGGCGCTGTGCAGCTCAAAACTCATCTGCCTGAGCCAGCTGGTAGATGCAGCAGGACCGGCGCTGACAGACAGCCAGGCTCTGGGCTCGGTGCTGGGGGTGCGCTGTGTCCGCCTGATGCGGAGGAGTCTGGAGCTCTGGAGGAGGAGGCTGACAGAGAGGGAGAAGGTCCTTCTCCTCAAACACAGCAGGGGAGAAGCTGAGCCCGACCCCACAGACCCGTACCCAGAGATCCACCTGTGCCCAGGGTTCACGGAGCTCAGCGGCCCCCTGCTGAAACACACTGATGAGGAAAAACTAAGCCTGCAAAAAGCTGAAAAAAAGACTCTGTACACAAGCTGTGTAAAAACTATCCACAGAACACAGCTGTGTGACAGAGCAGAGTGTGTGTGGACTGAGAGGCTGGGTGGGCTGAGCCCACAGTGGAGAACTTTGTACAAACCTCCTCTGAAAAAGAGAACCGGAGATCTCCAGTGGAGGATCTTGCATGGTGCCATTGCAACTAATGCCTTTTTATTTGTTCTTAATCACAGTGTTTTAAAGGAGTGCCCATTCTGCGGGCTGACCGAAAGCATCTTCCATGTTTTTACTGAGTGCAGGAGACTGGCAGAGATTTTTAATGTTTTAACCCGTGTTTTTAGCCTATTTGGCGTCCTGTTTACTGCCCCTGTTTTTATTTGTGGAGTTGGTTTTAAAAAAACAGAAAAAGCAAAGTGCCAACTCCTAAATTTTTTAATTGGTGAAGCAAAAATGTCAATCTACCTGACTCGTAGGGACAAACTGCAGGGTGGGCCGACCCTTGACCCTGTGATCCTGTGGAGGCACAACGTGAAGACCAGACTGAGGCTGGAGTTTTGTTTCCACAGGATCACAGAGAACATTGATGTGTTTGAACAGCAGTGGGCTCATGAGCGGCTGCTGTGCCGAGTGAATGAGAGAGAACTAGAATTTGCATCATTCCTCAACTGATATATTGAGTGTATAACTGTTTGTTTGTTTTTAAACCAACTGTAAATAAAGTACTGTTAAAAAATCAAAAAAATCTCTCTGTCTCTGTCTTTCTCTCTCTCTCTCTGTCTCTCTCTCTCTCTGTCTCATTGTGTCATGCGGATTACTGTTAATTTATTATGCTGATCTGTTCTGTACGACATCTATTGCACGTCTGTCCGTCCTGGAAGAGGGATCCCTCCTCAGTTGCTCTTCCTGAGGTTTCTACCGTTTTTTTTCCCCGTTAAAGGGTTTTTTTTTGGGGAGTTTTTCCTGATCAGCTGTGAGGGTCATAAGGACAGAGGGATGTCGTATGCTGTAAAGCCCTGTGAGGCAAATTGTGATTTGTGATATTGGGCTTTATAAATAAAATTGATTGATTGATTGAACTTTCTGAACGCAGTGATGTGCACTGCATGTCATGTGATGAGGACCAAACAATCACAGCTGACAGATATCTTTCCTTCCTCAGTAAATATTGGTGTGTGATAAATATGGAGAAGTTGGTCATGTTAGTGCAGAGCTGTCAGAGCGTCACATCTGTCCCACAGACAGACAGGAAGTAGATCAGCTCTGACCTCAGGCTTTCAGGTAAACAGGCTATGATACAGTGCTGGTTATGGTTGCTTAGCAACCTGCCGCCACGCTTTTGTAAGCTGACACAGAAAAGCCACAAAGGTAGCGCCCAGCACCCGACCTCATGTTTTCCGGGCGGCTGTTTCCCTCCGGACAAATAAAGTTTCCTCATATTCTGAAAGGGTGTTCCTGCAACCCATCCGAGGAGACCTTCACAAGATAGTTATTGTGCACATCATGTTGTATTCTGTACTGTGCAGAGTGTGCTTACTGCTTCTATCATGTTAGCCACATGTTCTGTTAACGATTACAGATGGAAATTAGTGTTTCGCTAAATCTGGTGCGCGTTTTTCATTCATTCATTCATCTTCTAACCCTTCATCCTCTTGAGGGTTGCGGGGGGGCTGGAGTCTATCCCAGCTGACACTGGGCGAGAGGCAGGGTTCACCCTGGACAGGTCACCAGACTATCACAGGTCTGACACATAGAGACAAACAACCATTCACACTCACATTCACACCTACGGACAATTTAGAGTCACCAATTAACCTGCATGTCTTTGGACTGTGGGAGGAAGCTGGAGTGCCCGGAGAGAACCCACGCTGACACAGGGAGAACATGCAAACTCCGCACAGAAGGGCTCCCACGCCCGGGATCGAACCGGCAACCCTCTTGCTGTGAGGCGACAGTGCTAACCACCACACCACCGTGCCGCCCTGGTGCGCGTTTTTATTTCTGATTAATGTCATCGCATATTGTCATTTTATACGTACATCAAATAAACTAAACCTGGACACAGCTCACACACACACACACACTGGTGTCCACAGAAACACACTGGTGCTGCAAACATACTGGTGTGAAGAGGCTGACGTCATCTAACAGACAGACAGACAGAAACACTGCAAGAACTCCTCACCGCTAACTTCCTGCAAATGGAGGGTGAAAATACTCCGTGTGTGTGTGTGTGTGTGTGTGTGTGTGTGTGTGTGTGTGTGTGTACTCAGTATGTATAATGGATTAGCCCTGAGGGCAGCCTGGTAGCAGCAACCAGACCTGAACACACACACACACACACACACACACACACACACACACACACACACACTCTCTCTCTCCCTGTTTTGGCCCATTAGCTGGAGGGAAGATCTATAATGTATATCCATGAGTGTGTGTGTGTGTGTGTGTGTGTGTGTGTGTTCAGGTGAGTAACATCCATTAGTTTCTCCTGATGAAAATGGGTAAACATGTGAAGAGCACACACACACACACACACACACACACACACACCTGCTATTATTGAAGGTTATCAGTGTGTTTCTTCTGCTGCTGATCGAGTCGATTGATCCATCAAAGCCATTGATCAGTTTGGTTTCTGTCTCTTTAAACGGAGTCTCGCTGGTCGGATTAAAAACCCTCATCTGGACTTGTTTTCTGTTTCTGACATGTCATCGATTTATCGGGTTGAGCTGAACACTCAGAGAAACAAGTGTCCGTCACAGATACTGTCCTGTTTATGAGTTAAGTGATGCGATCACGTGCCGACTTGTCAACGTGTCAACACATCGACTTGTTGATGTCTCTACGTGTCGATGTGTTGACTTGTCAACATGTCAATGTGTCGCCGTGTGGATGTGTACCAAACACTGACTCTGTGTGAAAGACACCGTGAACAGGTGAGTTTCAAAGCATCAACATGTGTGTGTGTGTGTGTGTGTGTGTGTGTGTGTGTCCACCTCACCTCGTACTCCTCCTTGAAGCCATAACCTTCGGCACATTTCATCTGGGTGATGTGTTGCAGCAGGTCAGCCACTCGGATGGCCGGGTGCAGCTGTCCCGTCTGATAGGGTAAGGCCTCCCGCTCCGACTCTCGCTGCTTATAGTGGGACTGGACCAGGCTACTGGTTTCACTGGTCATAGTGTGACTGTCATCTGTGGGAGGACGAGGGGGAGGAAGGACAGAAGAGTGAAAATGAACAGGTCAGACTGAGGCTGTAGAGACGGCTGGACAGACAGACAAACATGGCGTATGATCATGTTGGGTGGCACAGACTGGACCTGTTGTGATGAATCAAATCTGTGACTTCTCATGATGTCAGGTCAAAGGTCAACACATTTATACCAGCCTCCTTTTTTTAATTCAGTTTTGTGTCAGTTAAAGAGGACCTACAATGCAGACCAATATTTCATTTTACAATGTTCAAAAAATAAACGAGGCCAAAGTTTTAAATAATGACATTAACGTATGTAGAAGTAAATCTTTAGCTGCTCCAGACACGCTACTGCTACTGTAATTACATACACTGCTACATGTAGCTACATGCTAACTTCAGGGAAACATATTGTTTACATGTAGCTACATGCTAACATCAGGGAAACATGTCATCTATATGTAGCTACACGCTAATGTCAGGGAAACATATTGTTTACATGTAGCTACATGCTAACATCAGGGGAACATGTCATCTACACGTTGTTAAACATGGTTAAAGGGAGAGGCTCTAAAAAAAAGCGTCTCTGACAGAGGGTGCATTACGGGGCCGTGAGTGAGCATCGTTTTGTTGACGGGCAGTGGCGGCTGGTTTTGAGCCATGACTCCTTCTATTCTGGCTCCCAATAACACAACAAGACAAACACATTTTAACACTCCTATGGAGCCTACAGCCCTGTGGGGGAGAGGCAGCTGCACCTCCAGCTGATAACATGATGCCATCGTGACGTCATCATGACTTCAGCCTTAAAAGGGTCTGTAACGTTACGGTCTGTCATATTCCTGTATTTCATTTGGACCGTTGGCTCCATCATACTAACGAGCTCACTGTTTGCAATTAACTTGAGCTGATGAAGGAACCTAGCAGGCTAATCTTAGCTCATGTCATGGATGGCTTGTTAGGGGCCCCTAAATTGCTCTTGGCTAGCGCTTTGTACCGTTAAATCATTTACTGTTTATCAGACAACAAACGAGACAAGAATTAACTAGCTAGCACAGCCCGCCAACCCTCCACCTTACTTCCCCCTGCAAGGACACTAACTCCGCGGGAGGAGAGTGAATGGCAACTCAGACTTTAGCTGCTTGAATTCAGCCAGCAAAAATCCCAGCCCTGGGGTTCACAGTGGGATCTAATCCCTGTAACTGCAGCAGAAAGTTCACTGATCCAGCAGAACTTGGAGGAGGGTGGTCCAGGATCAGACCCCCGGTGACTGGGCACTGCCTGATTGTGTAACTGCTGCAAAATGTAACACACACACACACATCATGTGTGGACTCTTGTGGTGGGTGCTGGTTGTTTGAGTCATTGTTTGGGTGGATTCTATTTCTTAGCTAACATTAGCTAGCATTATACATTGTTAGCGCTGTAGCAGCACTGAAGAACGGCAGGGCACAGGAATGTGCATAACGTTATGTTCTTCAGTCTGAGTCCTTTATATAAAAGTCAGTCCACAAGCTTTTAGAGGCAACCTGAAAAAGGCAGGACAGTCTCGGTCTTCAGGTTTCCACCTCAACAACCAGCGTATAAAGTTCCACACGGAACCTTCGAACCTTTAAACTCATAAAAACCCAAAATACAACCTGAACGTGAAAATGAGCAGAATAGGTCCTCTTTATACGTTTGGGTAACATCGTTTACATAATAATAATAGTAATAATGATAATAGTTAGTTTTATTACAAACTGGAGGGACCAATGATCTGACAATGACAAGCCCTGATCCACATCCATAGCTACCATGTTGTTACCATGACAACACAGATGAAAGACACACATCACGTGCCATCAAATCACATGATAGGAAGGAGGATGGTGATTGGCCCTGTTTCTTTTCACACTGCCGCGATAACCATTGATCACAATTCAATGATGTGACGGAACATAAAGGAGTACAGCATTGTGAATACTGGTCCAGATTGTACAAGTACTTGTTCAGACCCAGTAGAGCATGGTTTGACTGGTCAGAACTCAGTAGAATGTAATGCAAGTACTGGTCCAGACCCAGTAAGGTATGGTATAAGTACTGGTCAGAACCCATTAGAGCATGGTATGAGTACTGGTCAGAACCCATCAGAGCATGGTATGAGTACTGGTCAGGACTCAGTAGAGCTGAGTACTGGTCAGAACCCATCAGAGCATGGTATGAGTACTGGTCAGAACCCATTAGAGCGTGGTATGAGTACTGGTCCAGACCCAGTAGAGCATGGTATGAGTACTGGTCCAGACCCAGTAGAGCATGGTATGAGTACTGGTCCAGACCCAGTAGAGCTGAGTATTGGTCAGAACCCAGTAGAACATAGTATGAGTACTGGTCCAGACCCAATAGAGCATGGTATGAGTACTGGTCCAGACCCAGTAGAACTGAATACTGGTCAGGATCCAGTTCAGTGCGGTATGAGTACTGGTCCAGATGTGGTCCAGGTTCTTGGAGCTGCAGTGTGAAAAGAGCAGAGAATTCAGAGTCCTGGAACAAAACAAACCTCTTCTGTAAACTGGTTTTCATCGACCCTCAAATAAATGTCCAGGACTCTGATGTGAACATTTCAACAAAGACTCAGCGACATACCTTCTACTACACTCCCTAACTCTGTTCTCATTGGCTAGCCTGGGGGCTGACTGACCAATCTGAATCTCTGTCCCAAACAGCCCAACCACTCATGGCAAGGGCGAGGAGATGGGCAATGTCGTGGAGGTGGCGTTTGGTGATTGGACGGAGGAGGATGGATGAAACAACCACAACAACAAAAAATGGCAACCAATCAGAGGAAGAGGAATGGGCAGAGCTGATTGGTTCAAGGTGAAATGATGGGAGGAGTTGTGGACTGTGATGTCACAATTTCACAGAGGGGTAAAAATTATGCATGGCCACGCTAACTGATGACATCACAGCTGGTGGTGGGTGTGGCTCATGCGCAGTGGTGACAGACACCCCCCACCCCAATATGAGTCCCGCCCCCTTAGCCCCAAATTTAACCACTTACCATTAATGGGCACTTTACACAGAGAAAGAAGGAAGAGAAGAAGAAGAGAGAGAGGAGACAGGGTATAAGCAACAACTTTAGCTTTAGCCTGGGCTAAATCTACTGCTAACAAACAGCTAGCATGACTTAAACAGGAACTAGCTCCTAGCACTGCAGTAGCCCTATTTGAACTTGTAACAGCCAGCAGCAAGTGCATAAGCTAACCTGGCTAACTGTACCCTACGTGGAGGACTCCACAAACGTCCCTGGCCTGAGGACAGTTTAGCTAGCCTGAAGAGAGAGGAGAAACAGGAATTTATGCTACAGTTTGCTTTAAGCATTAGCCTAACAGCATATTTAGGGCAGTAGTTAGCATCCGAGTTTAACCTAAACTGGAAACATGTATTTTTTTTTTTTTTGCATAGATAAGAGAGGTGTCAAGTTTGTCACTTTTTACAAGCAAAACAAAGATCAGCATTCTGCGCTTGATTTATGTGTCAACCGCAGGTGGTTTGAAGACGTGGACGTAGCCTCCGGGTCAGAAAAGTGAAGTCAATGTGGAAGTGCCTTAAATCTGCTTTCTTGCTAATGGACAGCATGGGGCGATTCCAGGAATGAGTCCTAAACCCTGGAGATGAGTTCGCATGATAGCACTTCCAGTTTCCTCATCTTGGAGTCAGTGTGTTTTTGGTTCGATGTCTGAAATAAGGTTTGTAGCTAACACAACCGGGTCTCACTCCGAAGTCATCGAATACTGGCTGCTTGGTCAGTGACTTCTGGCGTCAGACACATTGGCATGAAATGCGGCCGGTTGCCATTATTGCTTAACGGTGCATGGTGGTGCGGGACAACAACAGAAATTAAGGCGGCGGAAATTCAAATATAGGGGATGGAAGGGTCCAACAACCACCAACTTTCACCAAGGAGGCCGGTGTTCACTTCCTGTAAGATTGTAAAACCAAACCCTGTTCTTTTTCCTAAACGTAACCACGTGTGTGTGTTGGCTAAACGTAACCACGTGTGTGTGTGTTGGCTAAACGTAACTATGTGTGTGTGTTGGCTAAACGTAACCATGTGTGTGTGTTGGCTAAACGTAACCACGTGTGTGTGTGTTGGCTAAACGTAACCATGTGTGTGTGTTGGCTAAACGTAACCACGTGTGTGTGTTGGCTAAATGTAACCACGTGTGTGTGTTGGCTAAACGTAACCATGTGTGTGTGTTGGCTAAACGTAATCACGCGTGTGTGTTGGCTAAACGTAACCACGTGTGTTAGAACGTCAACAACCAACACACCCAGGGTACCTTGGACGTCATATGTTAATGACACGTGACGAGGTCGCAGTGAGGACGTGTTGATTTGTTAAACGTCAGTAAAAATACTCCACTGTGATTTAGAAGCTTTATGTGTCTCTAACAAGTGTCTACATGAGACTACAGATCATCGTCACGCCGAACACGACTTTACAGCCTCGCTGTGGTGGTGACATTAAGTCATGTGACCGTGGTGTAGTTTGGTTACAGCCTAACGTTAGCTTTTAAATTCTGCAGATTAAATTTATTCTTCAATAATCATGAAGTTCATTAGTAAAGATTATCTGACTGAACAAATCCTGGAAGGATGAGAACGTGTGTTCTGATTTGTTTATTTTCTTTAATAATTCAAAATCTAATTTAAATAAATTCACGCTGGCTTTTTGCGGAGGGTCCCAGGCAACGCTGACTCAGGGTGGGGCCACAGGAAAACATGATCCCTGCAGAACTCTACAGATTTCAGTGAGGAAATGATATAAATTCTCGTTTGATGTATAACCTCAGGAGACATTTTCCTGATGAGTTGAGTCTGTAGTTTGAGTCTTCAACACACCATGACGTTGAGTTTGTAAAGCCTGGTCCATTTAGAGGAACACAGACATTTTATTTTAACCTTTCAATTTTGTGCTGCAGCGTAGAGAACGCTCTGAACCTGACTGAGTTATCTCTACCGGTCAGTTCAGCTCTGTTAGGATGACAACATCCACTAGATGTTGCTGTGTCTTTAAATAGCAGGTATTTACAGGAAGTCAGTGACATAAGAGTCAAACTGAGGCTTCACAAAGCATCAGGTGACATCAGGGTGTTTTTAAACAGTCTCTGTCAAAACTCAACAAACTGCTTCATCATCTGTCAGTGTCGTCATGTTTCCACCATGTTTCTGTAACACCACTTTATCTTTTCACTCAAACTGAAACTCTGCCTATATATTTCTGGAGTAGCTTATTTGTGTGGTTACATGTTCATATTCATACACACATTTATGTGTATTTATTTGTTTATCGCTTTACAGATACCTCGCTGTGTATACTGCTTCATGTAACTGGTTTTATTGTCTTGTGAAGCACTTTGTAATGTCTGTTTTTAAAAACTGCTAAATAATTAATTTAGTTCAGATTCAGGATATATTTTAAAATGTTAATAAAAAAAAAACAACAAAAAAAACATGTCATGTATTTTTTTCTGCACCTGAACCAGGAGCTGCAAATCTCAAATTAGTTATCTTATTTAGCTTTAGTTAGCTTATTTAGCTTTAATTAGCTTTAGTTAGCTTATTTAGCTTTAGTTAGCTTAATTAGCTTTAGTTAGCTTATTTAGCTTTAGTTGGCTTAATTAGCTTTAATTAGTTTAATTGGCTTTATTTAGCTAAATTAGCTTTACTTAGCTTTAGCTGCTAACCTAGTGAAATACACTGTCAGTGAAAAATTTGGTGATTTAACAAATATGTTGAATCTCTATTATTTTGATGTAATATTTCTCTTAGACGACATTTGCTGAAATAAAATCTGTTCATAGGTACATTATAGCGTGTCTCATTTCTTCTTCATGTGATGACAGTTAAACGTCTGATCACTCAATGGACGGCGGAGGGTGAGCCAGCTCAGCTCTGCCCTCCTGATTCTAAAGGTCATGTTTGTTTGTGTTTATTTCTCTTCCTGAGGAGTATTCCAGGTAGGAGGTTCAACAAACTCTGAGTCTAACCTTGAACTCTGAGTTGATTTACCCTGAGAAGGGAAACTCTGAGTTACCGGTTCCAGAACAGCTGATCTGAGTTAGTTCAGTCAACTATGTTCACTCTGAGTTAAGCCAACAATAAAAAGCCATCATCAATGGAGCTCCGACTCCACGATTCACCATGGCAACAGTTAAATAAAAGACAGTGCCTCCATTTTAATCCAGTGGATTTAGAGATATTAATGCATGTGTAGCAGACGGTGCACGTTTATCTTTAAAAGAAGAGCCTGAGTCAGAGCTAGGAAAGTGTAAATAAGTTAACCATAAAGTTAATAAAAAAGTTTATTCATCATTTATCAGACTTACATTTCCTTAATGAAGATAAAGTGGTGGAATCTGACTGTGTATCAGGCTGTAGATACATTACATTATATTAATAATATATCATAATATATTTGTTCAGATTTAATCTGATGGGGAAAAACACAGGAGGCAGAAGATTTAAAACATATAGGCTAGGCTATAGATCAAAGACATAAAGACATGACTGTAAACTCACAGTCTGACCCAGTAATAATATGTTTGGTGATTTGCACTTGAAAAGACGTTGAGGTTAAAATACAGTAGATTTTAAAATGTTGCACATCTATTTGTATCTTGACTCAACAGCATTCAGTGACTTTATTTCAGCTACAAATGTAGTAAATTTAAAGACAGTGAAATGCTGCACCATTGCTCACTCAGAAATATGAACATATAATCCCCAATATTAGGCTATAGGAATTATGTTCCATCAGTGCGACCAGTGACATCAGTGACAGAGATCATTAGTCATTGATACTACGTGTCTAAAGCTTCATACCCATTTTTAAAATTTAAATAATTAGACCTACACATTATGTGCAATAAACATTTGGGAGCTGCTCTAACAGACTGACAGTCTGATCCTTGTGCACAGTGTTATAAAAATAATAAATATAAAAAGGACAGATGTTTGATTCTGAGCTGAGGGTGAATTCTCGCTGTGTAATATTTGAATGTAAAGACAAAAACTGATGTCCAAAGAAATGATTGATGTGCATAAATTCAGCAACTTAAGACAGTCCTGAGTAACAAACTAATATCCAGCAGGATTTAGACTGTGACAGACGGTAAATCTCCGCTAATGAATGCGCTTCGATACAAGCTTTGACACGGACTGAATGAATGAGGAAATGAAACAGCGTGTAAGAGGGAGGAGACAGAGAAAAACTCTGGGTTTATTGAAGAAAACCTGTCAGCGAGCAGGTTATGTTCACAGAGTCTGTTACCATGGTGACTGACTCAGAGTTTCAGTTACCTCTTTCTGGAACGGATAACTCAGAGTTTCCCTCATCTCAGGGTTAACTTACTCTGAGTTTTCACATAACCCGCTTTCTGGAATATCCCTCTGTTCTTCCCATGTTACATCAAGACAACCTGAAAATCCACAAACATCTGCGACATCCCATAATCTCAGCCGAGACGTCCAGAGAATAAAGCCAGCAGTTTACAGGACCTCTGACTGACTCTGCTGTTGTGTCTCTGTTTATTTATTGTTTGTTTGTTTGTTGTTTTCCTCCCCCCCCAGTCCACAAGGGCGTGTTGTGTCCATGCAGAGGTTGGAGGTCACAGACAGACGTGACGTCAACACGACACGCAGGAATGTTGTGGATGTGGGGATGGAGTGAAGCCCACCGTCCTTTTCCAAATAAAAAAAACTAAAAGCCCTCAAAACCAAACAGACTCATAAATCAAAATTATATCAGAAATAAGAAAAAAACAAAACAAATGGAGTTAATTACACTGTGAAGAAATTACCACAATAACCAGGTAACAGCTATTAAATTAAAGTAAATTTAAAAAATGACTAAAATAACTTTAAAAAATGAAAATAATTACATTAATTACAAAAAGCAAAAAAAAAAAAAAATGAATTTAAGAACAATCAATAACTAAAAATTTGTCAAAAAGAAAAAATAAATCTTTAATAAGACCAATGACGAAAGTCTAAACAAAAGAAAAATAAACTAAATTATCTGAATCATTAAATGAATACAATAATCAAAGATGGAGGATTTGGAGAAAAATAAAATCATAAATAAAATAATTAAACTAAAAATAAAGAAAAAACAAAACAAAAGGCAGCCGAACAAGCAAGCAGGGATGGATGGAAGTAAAAATATCACTCTCTCTGTCTCTGTCTCATTCTCTCCATCCTCTCTGTCCTTTCACCTGTCCCTCTCTTCTCTGTCTCACCTGTCTGTCTACTTCCTGTCCTGTTGGTTTTTCTGTCCTACAGAGGAAGGAAAGGAAAAGTGTCTCACCCAGAATGGCCGTCGGTACGAAGGGATCTGCCGTCACGACACATCAGCAGCAAAAAGACAGAAAGACAGGAAGACAGAGAGACAGAGAGACAGATAGACAGATAGACGGACACAAAGACAGACAGACGGACACAAAGACAGACAGGACAAAGGAAAAAGAAAAGAAACAGAAGGAAAAATCAGCTCCCTACATTTCAGGATGTGTCCAGCTGACTCAAGAGAAATGTTGATGCACTTCACTGAATGTTGCCACACTCGACTGAATGTTGCAGCACTCGACTGAATGTTGCCGCACTCGACTGAATGTTGCAGCACTCGACTGAATGTTGCCGCACTCGACTGAATGTTGCCGCACTCGACTGAATGTTGCCGCACTCGACTGAATGTTGCCGCACTTGACTTAATGTTGCCGCACTCGACTGAATATCGCCGCACTCGACTGAATGTTGCTGCACTCGACTGAATGTTGCTGCACTCGACTTAATGTTGCTGCACTCGACTGAATGTTGCTGCACTCGACTGAATGTTGCTGCACTTGACTTAATGTTGCCGCACTCGACTGAATGTTGCTGCACTCGACTGAATGTTGCTGCACTCGACTGAATGTTGCCGCACTCGACTGAATGTTGCTGCACTCGACTTAATGTTGCTGCACTTGACTGAATGTTGCTGCACTCGACTGAATGTTGCTGCACTTGACTTAATGTTGCTGCACTCGACTGAATGTTGCTGCACTCTACTTAATGTTGCTGCACTCAGCTGAATGTTTCTGCACTTGACTTAATGTTGCCGCACTCAACTGAATATTGCTGCACTCGACTGAATGTTGCTGCACTCGACTGAATGTTTCTGCACTCGACTTAATGTTGCTGCACTCGACTTAATGTTGCTGCACTTGACTTAATGTTGCCGCACTCGACTGAATGTTGCCGCACTCGACTGAATGTTGCTGCACTCGACTTAATGTTGCTGCACTTGACTGAATGTTGCTGCACTCGACTGAATGTTGCTGCACTTGACTTAATGTTGCTGCACTCGACTGAATGTTGCTGCACTCTACTTAATGTTGCTGCACTCAGCTGAATGTTTCTGCACTTGACTTAATGTTGCCGCACTCAACTGAATATTGCTGCACTCGACTGAATGTTGCTGCACTCGACTGAATGTTTCTGCACTCGACTTAATGTTGCTGCACTCGACTTAATGTTGCTGCACTTGACTTAATGTTGCCGCACTCGACTGAATGTTGCCGCACTCGACTGAATGTTTCTGCACTCGACTTAATGTTGCTGCACTCGACTTAATGTTGCTGCACTTGACTTAATGTTGCCGCACTCGACTGAATGTTGCCGCACTCGACTGAATGTTGCTGCACTCGACTGAATGTTTCTGCACTCGACTGAATGTTGCTGCACTCGACTGAAATGTTGCTGCACTCGACTTAATGTTGCTGCACTTGACTTAATGTTGCCACACTCGACTGAATGTTGCTGCACTTGACTTAATGTTGCCGCACTCGTCTGAATGTTTCTGCACTCGACTGAATGTTTCTGTACTCGACTGAATGTTGCTGCACCAGTTAGGGCTCAGAGCTGGTAAGGTGGTTAGACTGATCATAAATCTGCCAGTCAGGAGAGCCAGATTTAGATCAGCTGTTTTATCTAAGCGTCCAACATGAGTCACACATCACCGAGTTCTGAAGAGGAGAAGGACGGCGCCCCCTGTGGAAACCATGATACCCTGTAAGGTCACCATGGTAACAGTGTTGTGAGAGATGAGGTAAATTACTGTGACGTGACATCTCCTCAGAATCACACTGTGTCTGAATCTGACTGGCTAAGACTGAAAGGACAGGTGTTTGGTACCTGGGTAGTAGGAGTTGGGGACGGTGGTGCTGATGGTGTTTGTCTTCAGGGTGAAGGAGGATGGAGACGACACAGCTGGACAGAGAGAAAACAAACACAACCTTAATGTCTCCCGTAAGACATCAAGCTGGTCTACCTTCAGTGTGTCTTCACAAAGCTCCGCCCACACCTGTGACCGCAGTAACATCAGTCCCAAAGGTTACTGACACAGATACTCATGACTTCATAACAGGTTTAGAATCATGAATTCATGTGTTCATCAGTTTAGTGTTGCAGCTGCTAAAGGTGGAATAGAAACTGTCCGACAGTGCCTATATTTGTATTTTTGTTTACTGTGATGTCATTTCCCAGAATATCTCCAAGTGCTTCCCTAAAATTTGTATGACCTGAGCTACGAGCTCCTGTTGGCCAATAAACCACCATGTCTGTGTGTGTGTGTGTGTTGGCTAAACGTAACCACGTGTGTATGTGTGTTGGCTAAATGTAACCACATGTGTGTGTTGGCTAAATGTAACCACGTGTGTGTGTTGGCTAAATGTAACCACATGTGTGTGTTGGCTAAATGTAACCATGTGTGTGTGTTGGCTAAACGTAACCACATGTGTGTGTGTTGGCTAAATGTAACCACGTGTGTGTGTTGGTTAAATGTAACCACGTGTGTGTGTTGGCTAAATGTAACCGTGTGTGTGTTGGCTAAACGTAACCACGTGTGTGTTGGCTAAATGTAACCACATGTGTGTTGGCTAAATGTAACCACGTGTGTGTGTTGGCTAAATGTAACCACGTGTGTGTGTTGGCTAAATGTAACC